GTTCCTGAATGGGAATCTCCATCTCTACTGACTCTTCTTCTTAGGCAAAATCTTCTATTGTTTCCTCGTTTTCTCCCTGTGTTGGAAAAATTAATTTTCCCTCAAACTCCACCTGCTTTGAAGCACCATCAGTTTGTTTGACATTTTCAACTTTCACCTTATCTGTTATGGCAGATTCATCAAAGGTAACATCTCAGCTGAATATAATTTTTCTCGTCTCTGGACACCATAAGCGATATCCTTTGACTCCAGAAGTAATCCCCGTAAATATATCTTTCTTTGCTCTCATATTCAATTTTGACTCTTTCGCATGATAGTATGCAATTGAGCCAAATACATGTAAAAAATTATAATCTTCAGCAGGTTTTCCATACCATTTTTCAAATGGTGTCTTTCCACCAATAGCGGCAGATGGTAGACGATTAATGAGGTGGTATGCATATATAATTTCTCAACCCAAAATTCTTTGCCCAAGACAACATTAGACAACATACACCGCAACAAAGTCTGATTCATAGGTTTTGGCCACTCCATTCTGGTGTGGTGTATTTCTGACGGTGAAATATCTCAAAATGCCATCATCTTCACAAATCTTATTGTAAAGATTATTTTTGTATTCTCCACCGTTGTCTGCGCGAAGACACTTTATCTTTCTGCCTGTTTGAATCTCTATCATCGCCTTCCATTTGAGAAAAATTCCCAGTATCTCATCTTTGGCTTTCATAGTATACACCCACACTCTCCACAAAAAGTCATCAATAAAAGTTACAAAATAGTATTTCCCACCTAATGACGGTGTCTTAGAAGCACCCCAAACATCATAGTAACATAATCCAAAATACCTTTAGTATTATGGATAGTTGTTCCAAATTTAACCTTTGTCTGTTTCCCCTTGACACAATTCTCACAAAACTCTAAACTGCAAGTCTTTACTCCTTTTACTAATCCTTGCTATGATAAAATTTTCAAGGGTTTTCCTCCAGCATGTCCCAAGCGCATGTGCCATAGCTTGGTTGATTCTGCCTTCTTGTCATCACTGGATGTCACTATTGCTGTCTCAATAACTATACTACCGTGATAGTGGTACATGTTATTATTTAACCTAATTTTTATCATTATCACTAGTGCACCGGAGCATATTCTCATTTTCCCATTTTCTGCAATGACTTTGAACCCTTTGACTCTAGGGCTCCTATAGAAATTGGATTTTCTTCAATTTCGGTAAGTATCGAACATATGTTAATATTCTGATCAATCCATCATGATTTCTTAATCGGATTGAACCAATACCATATGCGATACGAGGATTGTTATTTGCGATGTGAAGAATTCCACGTTCTCCTTCTTGAAAATCAATGAACCAGTCCCGATTGGGACACATATGATAGCTACAAGCTGAATCCATTAACCATATGTCATATTATTTGAATGGCTTAGTTGTAACTAGTGAGAAATCAGAGTCGTCACAATCAACTACATTTGAATGCATGACAACCTTCCCATTATTAGGTTTGGCCTTGTTTTTCAACTTTGGACAATCTTTCTTCTAGTGCCCCTTTTCTCGGCAAAATGCGCATTCATCTTTGCTGGGTCTGGATCTTGACTTGGATTATCCTTTCTTCGTTCTCATGTGATTTTGAGAACGAGCTCTCACGACCAATGCTTCTCCTTCTCCACTCTTTTGTTTTTCTCTCTTTCTTTGTTTATAGCTGTACAAGGCAGAACAAACTTCTTTGAGAGATACTTCATCATTCCCATGAAGTAGAGTAGTTTCGAGGTGCCCGTAGTCATCGGGAAGTGAACTTAATAACATTAAGGCCATCTCTCCATCACTAAAAGTCACGTCCATATTCTGCAAATCTATTGCCAACTTATTAAAGCTAGTGATATGATCGTTCATTCTAGTACCAGGAACATATGTGAAGCGTCATAGTCTTTTTTTTATATAAAGTTATTTTGACTGTTTTTCTTCAAGAATTTATCCTCCAATGCATTCCACAATTTACTTGCAGAAGTTTCTTTTGTGTATGAATACTTCTGTTCTCTTGCGAGGTAAGATCGAATGGTACCACATGCAACGCGGTTGATAATCTTCCAATCTCCTTCTCCGATATTGCCTGATTTCTTTTCTTCTATGGCAATATCTAGCCCTTGTTCAGAAAGGACATCAAGAACCTCAGCTTGCCACATCCCGAAATGTCCTGATCCGTCAAAAGTTTCAACTACAAATTTTGCATTTGACATAATTCTTGTCATAAGCGAAGATGCCAACGACGCATTACTGATACCCGATGTGGACTCTTCATTTTTATTATCTCCCATTTTTGCTACAGAAACTATTTATTTGCTGACAGTACATAACTCCAAAGTAATTCTTTTCTGATGTAGAAGTTCAGCATATGCTGCAACCACAGAGCATAATAAGATAGAACCTTGACTCTGATACCAATTATTGCGAAAGCTGAATATATAGAGAGTGATTAAATCACAACTACCATATCTAAAGGTAGCTAATAAATAGTAAGTGAGATACAAAGAGCACCAGAAGTTAATGAGGTTCGGCAAAATTTAATTTTTACCTAGTCCTTGGACACAATCACTCAAATTTTATTTCACTCCAAAAATACAAGTGAAATACTACAAAAGAGAAAGAAGATTCAAATGCCTTAGGAGATAAGAAGGCAAGTGAGAGATATTTACAAATGAACAAAACTCTTGTTATTTATAAAAGGGAAATGTCCTTAATAATATCATGCATGACATCACATTAAGTGTGATCATGCATGCAACGTAAATGCATGAAAAAAATGCTTATACCAATTTTCTCCTAAAAGGAGGCTTCCAAATGTTCATACTAGTTCAAATTTAATCTTCCCAAATTCAACAGTAACAACCATCCAAACAACTGTTAACTCCTCCGTTTGTGAGATCATATTTTCCCCAACGGGAGGCGGTGGATAACTTGCTCTCATGGGTTATAGGAGTAAGTCACACCTTTGTTTTATTCTTGTTTCCCTGCCAATTGTCCTTTACAACTGTTCTTTTCTTCTACTCTTTTTCAAGTTTTGATACATTAATAAGTTCTTTTTCTTTTACTAGAATATGTGTACAAATGAGTATTATTTATGCATTTTTTGCGAACAAATTAATACACAATAAGTAAAGCAAGTTGAGAAAATGGCTAGCTCGAATCCAAAAGATACTTTGCTTACAAAATAATATACAAGAAAAAAAGAAAAAAGAAAAAAGGATCTTGCGTTCACTTTTTTTTCGATCTTGCTTTAGACCTGACACATATGAATTGATAAGAAACACTACAACTTGAATGAATTGTTATTTTCCACAGTGATTCATTCAATTGCGTTGTCTTCAACAGAGTGATTCATTCAATTGTGTTGTCTTCAACAGATATCTTGTGTCTACAGAAATTTGAAGGCCATTAAACCCAGTCGAAAAAACTCTAGAAAGGCCCAGCATTGTCATCTAAGAACTTTGACAAGTTTTGGGCTACTGGATATCATGATCCATAATCTTACGATCTAAGAACGGAATATATATTTAAAAAATTTGTTACATAAATAGTTGTTTGAATTAAATATTTATTTTTTTGCCAGTACGCATAGATTATACATATATTGTACATCTGCCGGCTATTTAGATTTAAGAGATTAGGTGGGCACTATTTGGATTAATTCTTCTAAAAATAATTTGTGCATGTTATTTTGAATTGGCTGGCTCAGATAAGGATGTCAAATTAGCACATAAAGATATAATTTCATTTGACACATCTAGGTTCAGTCACCTTTAAAAATTGATAAAATGCAAGGAATTGAAGGTGTAACAATACTACCACTATCTTAAGTTAACCAACTAACTAATTGACAGCTCATTAACAGTTGTCATCTAACAGAAAGATGCACGTGACTAACTAAACTAACTAATACATGCGCTATGTGCTATGCGCTATGCTATTCTATATTACAATATGCCCTCTTAAGCTGGAGGGTGTAGAATGTTGAGCACTCCAAGCTTGTCAAGAAGATGCACATGTTGAGCATATCCCGAACCTTTGGTTAGCAAATCAGCCTGCTGCTCCTTTGTATTCACATGTACTACTTGAACTACCCCTTCTTTGATCTTGTCCCTAATGAAATGACAATAGATTTTTATGTGTTTTGTCCGTTCATGTAGTATGGGATTTGCTGCAATCTGAATAGCAGACTTACTATCACTAAGGATTGTCACTGGTTGTGTAATATTCACACCCAACTCTTTAAACAAACCTAGTAACCATATGATCTCAGCTGTTGCAGCAGCCATGCTTCTGTACTCAGCTTCAGCTGAGCTTCTTGACATGGTTTGCTTGATGTTCCACTATCTTAAGACTTGTTTAAGCTCATATAAGAACTTCATTAACATGCAAACTTTCTTGTCACCTTGTTGTCTAAATCCTTCAGGTAATTCCATATAAACTTCCCCATACAAATCATCTTACAAGAAGACATTGTATACATCCATTTGGAACAGGTTCCACCCTTTTGAGGTAGCAGGTGCTATGGTTAACCTCACAGTGACCTTTTTTGGCACTGGTGAGAAAGTGTCATGATAGTCCAATCCTTCTCTTTGACTACACCTCTTTGCCACTAGCCTTGCCTTATATCTCTCAATGTCCCCATTTGCTTTTACTTAATATTATATACCCATTTTGAGCCTATTGTATTTCTACCCTTTGGAAAATCAACTATGCACCATGTTTTGTTATCTTCCAAAGCCTTTATCTCCTTCTTCATAGCCTCAATCCATCTACTGTCCTCGACAACTTCTTTGAAGGGTTGTGGCTCAACCTGTTGAGAGAACTTGGCCAAATAACATTGAACTGGAGGATGTTTTATCACAAGACAAATAGTTTGAAATTGGATAATTGCAGGTAGTAGCCTTCTTTGCGGTGATATAATCTTTCATCCACAATGGCTCTTTGGTCTGTCTTGAAGATTTTCTGCCTATGTTTGGTGGTACATTTTCATTTTCTTCTTCAAGTGATTGCTGCATTTTATTGTGTAACTCATTTGAGCCTCTGCATCCTGAACATTAGGACTCTGAACTTCTACATCCTGAAAAATTGCTGCATCAGAACCATCATAACTTGCCCCCTCAGCTTCATATTGTGCATCATCTTCTATTTTTGTGTGATCTATACTTACTGTTGTTTCTGGTAAGTTTGACCCATAAGGAGTACTACTGTGATCTGACACCTTCATAGGTAGAGGAGAAGAAATTGACACCTTTATAGGTAGAGGATAAGACATAGGCAATTCAGATTCCTTGCTCATATTAGTGCTTCCTTTGGCAAAGGGAAACTCATATTCCCTAAAAACAACATCCCTACTAGTAAATAATTGCCTAGTTTGTAGATCCAGAAGTATATATCCCTTCTGTGTTGCAGAGTATCCCATTAAAACTGATGTTTTGGCTCTTTCAGTAAATTTTTCTTCCTTGGGCAGATTTGTTGCATAACATAAACAACCTATAACCCTTAGATGGAGGAGAGAAGCCTTCCTACAATGTAGTAACTCAAAAGGTACTTTGCCCCCTAGAGTTTTGGATGGAAACCTATTGATCAAATACACTGCAACATTCACACATATGCCCCAACACTTCATAGGAATGGACCCCTGAAACTTCAATGCCCTAGTAGTGTCAAGAATGTGCCTATGCTTTCTTTCTACTATACCATTTTGTTGAGGGGTATAAGGACAACTGCTCTGATGAATGATACCAAGATTGTGGGTTAAAGAATTCAGTCTCATTATCTAATCTCAGTATTTTAACCATGACTCCAAACTGATTTTGAACCATGTTTAAAAACTATTTTATTGCTACTATCACTTCAAACTTTATGTGCAAGAAATGTACCCATGTGTATCTAGAGTGATCATCTACAATAGTTAGCAAGTAATACATGTTATTGAATGTAGGAACTTTATAAGGACCCCAAAGATCCATATGTACACGATGAAACAATCCATCAGCTCTAGAGTCATTAAGTGAGAATTTCAACCTAGTCTGTTTTGCTAAGGGGCAAACAAAGCAATTATTCTCTGCTATAATACTAACATAGCTATGTAACTCCTTTATATTCTTCATAGTTGACAGTGAAGGATGTCCCAGTCTCATGTACCCTAGGCTGCTGGTTCCTCCACACAATCTGCTCATTGCACAAATGATCTTCAGCTTGTTAGTTAATCTTCCATTTCTAAGGAAATATAATCCACCTCTGTTTCTACCAATCCCCTTCACCCTGCAATTGCAGAGGTCCTGAAATACACATAAAACAGGAAAGAAGTTGACATTGCAAGACAGTGCTCTTGTGAACTTTGAGACCGGCAATAGGTTGAACCTAAAATCGGGTACATAAAGGACATTTTTTACTGTTTCTTTATCCAGCAAACATGCACTACCAGTATGTGTGACATCAACTTTCCCCCCTGTAGGTAGATATACTCTATCATTGTAATATTTATCTGTAGTTCTAGTGTTAGCTAACAGTTCTAATTTAGAGGCAATGTGATGAGTTGCTGCTGAGTCACAATCCACTCCTCTTCCTTTTGGATGGAATTAGACATTAAACAAGTGACATTACCTGCCATGTTAGCCTGGTGATCACCACAATCTTTGTTTAGCAAATTCAGAATTTGGTTGTACTATGAATCAGTGAAGTAGTATCCCTTGTTCTCAGCTGTTGTCTATCCATGTCCATCTTCTTCAGAACATGATCCAACATCTTCTTGATTCACAACTTGTAATGACTCGACCGGTCATTTTGATCTTTTGCAGTTCGATCGTCATTTCTCGGGTATGACTTTCCCCGTGTGGTGTAATATGACTTATATAAATCATTGGTTTGGGTTTTCAGGGAAATCGGAACAAATTTGGAAGAACAATTCTCAGTTTGTAGCTTGAAATTTGAAAGGTTTGACCAAGATTTGACTTGTTGTATATGATCTCGGATTGGAAATTTTATGATTTGGTTAGCTCCATTGGGTGATTTGGGACTTATGAGCGTGATCGGAATGCATTTTGGAAGTCCGTGGAAGGTTTAGGCTTGAATTGGCGAAATTGAGATTTTGGCATTTTCCGATTGACAGGGGAGATTTTGATATAGAGGTTGGAATGGATTTCCGAAAGTGACAGTAGCTTCGTTGTGTCATTTGGGATGTGTGCGCAAAATTTCAGGTCATTCGAACGAGATTTGATAGACTTTTTGATCGAAAGCATAATTTAAGAGTTCTTGGAGTTCTTAGGCTTGAATCCTATGTTAAATTGGTGATTTGATGTTGTTGTGAGAGTTCCGAAGTTTTGAACAAGTTTGAATGATGTCATAGGATGTGTTGGTACAATTGGTTTGAAGTTTCGGGGAGTTCCGGGTAGGTTCCGGGATGTTTTAGGCCGAAAATCATAGATGTAGCAGGTCCAGAAGGGTTGCGGGCCTCGGAACCCACCCACGCGGTCCTCACAAAAAGAAGTGCAGCTGCGGTATGTGCTGTGCGGCTGCGGTAGGTGCTGTGTGGACCGCACAAAATGCTGTGCTGCCGCGGTGGGTAACATTTCACTAGTCCTACTTCGGAAGCTCATATCTTTTGATCTAGAAGGAAAATTGAGATAATTTAAAAATGAAACTTGTAGCCCTTCGTGTCTAGTTTCTAGAAAGGTAAAGATATCTCAATTTGGACATCTGTAGAGAAAGTTATGGTCAAAATACTAAAGCCTATCACTGTAGAGAAAAGCCTGTGCGGCCGCGGTCATTTTTGTGCGGACCGCACTGATTTTGTGCGGACCGCGGTCGATTTTGTGCGGTCCGCGGAGGTGGAAATCTGTGGGGTACTCTATAAATACAAGGTTTTGGGTTTTATTTGATATTTTGACCTAGAGAGCTCGAATTTTGTCGATTTTTCGAAGGTTTTTCAAGAAATTCATCGGGGTAAGTAATTCTAACTCAGATTTGGCTAGAGTACATGAATCTATCATTGAATTCATCATTTAATTCGTGATTTGGGATGGAATTTGGGAAGAAAATTTGTGGAATCTTCAAAATTATAAAATGATGATTTGAAGGACCAAATGGTACCGGAATTGGATAATTTTTGTATGGTTAGACTCGTGAGCGTATAAGGATTCTAGTTTTGTGAATTTTGTCAAATTCCTAGATGTGGGCCCGGGGGTCGGGTTTGACCAATTTCTGAAATTTTGTGGTAATTTGATTGTTTTCGCTTGGGCTTTGTTCCCTTAGCATATTGTGACGTATTCGTTCTGATTTTGGATAAATTCGACGTGCGTGGAGGCCGATTTGAGGGGCAAAGGCATCGCGAGTTAGAGATTTAGCCGGTTCGAGGTGAGTAATGGTTGTAAATGATGTTTTGAGGGTTTGAAACCCCAGATTTGCACATCGTAGTGCTATATTGAGGTGAGACACACGCTTGATGACGAGCGTGGAGTCGTGTACTATTGGGGATTGTGACTTAGTCCGTCCTGATTGATGATTTTACCGCACCTTTGACTGAAACTTATATGTTATCATCATGATTTGTTGATTGCCATATTTGGTTTTCGTGCCAACTATTTGAACCCTTCGGAAATTTTTATTACTATTTCCTCACTGTTTTGACTTACTAATTGAACTCAGTCATGTTATTTTCCACTGTTTTACTACTCAGCCATTTTTACTCCATTTTGAGACTTAAATGATATTTTAAATGATGTTTTGGGCTGAGAAATACTATTTTACTAATGCCCGAGGGGCTTGGGAGTATTTTTGACTGAGTAAGGCCGATGACCTAGTTGTGGGGAAACATTGATACTGATTTAAGGCTGAGGGCCTGAGATATGTATGCTACGAGGTGGCTTGTTGATATTGGTTACGAGGTCGAGGGCCTGAGATATATACGCCACAAGGTGGCTTGACTGATATGAGGTTGAGGGCCTAGATTTGATGCCACGAGATGGCTTGATATTGCGCTTGGGCCGTAAGGGGCCCCTCCCGGAGTCTGTACACCCCCAATGAGCGCGGATACCCATTGTGATATGAGATATAGCCCGAGGGGCTGATATTGTTCTATGTGATAGCCCGAGGGCCTGGTATTGTTCTATGTGATTTCCTGAGGGGTTGGTACCGTTCTATGTGATTGTCCGAGGGGCTGATATTGTTCTAATATATTGCTCGAGGGGCAGAGTTGTTGACATTGAGCCCGAGGGGCGAACCTTTATGTGTTTATCTTTCATATTTACCTATCATTTACCTGTTAAACTATGTTATTTGTGCCCGAGGGGCGGATTTCGGTGCTTATCTGCACTAACTGTTTTGCATTCATTTGCATACTGTTGAAAAATCCATTTTCAAATAAGTTTAAATTGAGCTAAGATGTTTAAAGAGATTTTACAGCTTCACTGCTTTCTTACTGGTTTTTGAACTGCTTCTATACAACATCTTGATATACTTTAGATTATTTCTTGCCTTCAGTCTTTATTTACATTGTTACTCACTGAGTTGGAGTACTCACTTTACTCCATGCACACCTGTGTACGGATTCAGGCGTTATCGGTACCGCTCCCGAGTGCTGATACCTCCAGCTTCAGGCGGACTTCCAGAGATTTCGAGGTAGCTGTTGACGTTCGCAACCCCGTGTCTCTACTCCCTTATCATCTCTATCTCTTTTTAGACATCTGTACTAGCTTATAGACTTAGCAGACTTGTATTATGAATTATAGATGCTCATGACTAGTGACACCCCGGTTAGGGCTGTGTTGGGTTGTACTTCCGCACTTTATTGACATTATCCGCTACTTAGTATTGCTATATCATGTTTTAGACTACTTTTATGATATTTAAATGTTTAAAAAGTGAATTGGGTTTAATTGACTGACCTTGTCTTCACGAGAGGCATCATCACGACCGGGTTCAGGTTTAGGGTCGTGATACAACTACAAGGGTTTCTGTCCTCCAATTATCTGGCTTTCCTCCACCATTTTGATTCCCATTATTAGTATTTATCCAGTTGTAAGGGTTCCCTATACCTTGCTTCTTCTTTGGAACAAAATCTGATGGATAGCCAATAATTTTGTAACAATTTTCCTTGGTATGACCTTTCATCCGGCAGTGTTCACATTGCGAAAATTGGTTTTTGCCTCGAAATCCTTATCCTCTGCTTGTTGCTTGCATAGCCAAAGTAGGATCACCTCTATCAGTCACAACATTAGCACCCAAATTCTGCTGACTTTCATCCCATACAATCATTGCATAGGCCTGATTTAGCGTAGGTGCAGTTGTCTTCATGAGAATTTGCCTTCTAGCCTGATTGTAGGACTCATTAAATCCGTTGAGAAATTGCATAACTCGTTGATGTAGTTGTTCCATATTTTCCTTAGACTTAGGGCATCCACCATTAGGGAAAAGGAATAACACATCATATTCATGCCAAAATTACTTTAATTTTGTGAAATAGACTTAAACTGAGCTAGTTCCTTGTGAGAGAGTTGTAATTTCACGATGTAATTGAAAAATTCTTACTCGATTCACTTTATCGAATCTCTCCAATAGATCCTCCCAAACAAGATGAGCATATGATGCATACACAATGCCACCAAGGAGCTCCTCACACATATTGTTCATGATCCATGACAAAATAATAGCATTGCAGGTCTCCCATTGCTCTTGTAAATCAGTTGTCTTGTAGGATTCCTTTTTGCATGTGCCAGTCACAAACCCTAGCTTTCTCTTCCCTAAAAGTACAATCCTCATCGACCTACTCCATAACCCATATTTTTCTGACTCAGTGAGCTTTACCGGAATCGATACCAAGTTCGGAGTGTTTGAAGGACCCAAAAATAGGGGATGTGTGTGGTCAATTGTGTTTTCTATCGTTGTCGTGTCAATGGCAGCAATTGATCAACGAAATGGAGAGATTTAGACCAACAATCAGTTTGAGAGCGCCACAGTGTGAGATTCCAGTATCTCCCGCTCTGATACCATGATAAAATGCAAGGATTTGAAGGTGTAACAATGACAGAAGTTCTGAGAAGAAAGAGTCGGCTAAGAGAGAAATGAACAACTGTTCTATTGAAGAAGATGATCAGTACATTTTATACACCTAATTACCACTATCTTAAGTTAACCAACTAACTAATTGACAACTCATTAACAACTGTCATCTAACAGAAAGAAGCAAGTGACTAACTAAACTAACTAATACATGTGCTATGTGCTATGCTATTCTATATTACAATAAAAATACTTTGGCCAATCCCTATCCCAATTATTCTATACAAAATCCGTTCATTTAAAGAGTGGTGAAGCCGCCTAAACTACAATGGTAATAACATGTTTTCCCTATCTTCCTTACTGCAAAAGCACAAATTAAAATAAATCCAAAGGTGGAATACAATTCCAATCACTTTTTTATCCATCGTCAGAGAATAATATGAGGACCTTTACTCCATAAGCTTCAATAATCACAAGAATATATATTATTAAGGGAAAAGTCATAAGTACCCCCAACCTATGATCGAAGTACCAATTATATAATTTCTTTTAAGGGTCTTATTACTTGCCTAAACTATTTAAGTGAAAATATTGTCACGCTAAATGTTGACGTGA